ATGGTTTAATGGTTTAGTGGGCCTGGTGGTGTTCCAATCCTGGAAGCTGCGTCAGTCATGGACATAGCGGGTAGATACCATTGCTCCCTGATTGAGCTGGCAGAGTTACAGTGCCCTTCCTGCGCAAACTGCCGTGCCACGCCGTGGCTGCCGTGCCGTGCCCTGGCCACTAGCGCTCCCCAGGGAATTCTTTTATAGGTGTGTGGGGGCTTAACTGCTGTTGCTCCTGGCCCTGTCCAGGTCTTTTCAGCCGCTGTCGCATGAGCTGCGGGCTCCTGGCGGGTCTCTCTGCTCCCCTGAGGTTTTCCCTGTTCAGGAAACCCCCCCGCACACCGCGCTGGAGCGCTCTGCTGCAGATCATGCCGGCACCGGAGCTGCTCACCTTGGCAACTGAAGAGACTGACATGTGGAAATGCAGTAAAACTACCATTGAAGAAAGGAAAAAAGCACCTCCAGGAAATGTCTGTGTGTCCTAGGAATTAACACCAATATAGAGATTAAGTGCCAAATCTGGCTTCAGGAAATACGGGGCCTGGACTGCAGCAACCTGGTTGGAATACAGAGGGAGCAGTAAGGACCTCAGCTCACCCCACTACAACTCTACCATTTCCATGCCAAGATGCTTGTTTCAGGGCAGTCTGCAAAACCTTGTCATCACTCGCCTTAAGGAACTGCTGGGCTTCTATAGCCTCTTTGATAAAATCTGCAAATTCAAAGCTGAAGGTGGCTGAAGACTGACAGTGTCATCTTCAGGCCGGCCATGTAGGAGAGGCAAGTTTCTGGATGGCCAGGGAAGGGATTAGAGCCTGCTCTGTTGCAACTCACCGTAATGTCATAGGCCACTTCCACATGGGGAAACAGCCGCATCCTCATGGTCTGTTTTCGGTAGGAGGGTGGTAAAGAGGTGATTTTAAAGGTCAGACTTTCGCTGTCTTATTTAGTAGTTTTGAAATATGGCTGTGGAGGTGTGTGCACGTTTGGTGGGGGAGGAAGACGGGGAAGAAAGGTCCACAGTACCAGTGATGCATGCTTTTACGATGAATCCTGTAAGGAGTTGGAACTGATGGTTTCTTCAGAAACAAAGATTTAACTTCACTGAAGTCAGCAGCAAAACCTTCTGTACCCGGTTTTTGCTCATTTCAGTATTGCTATTTGGCAAATAACAGTTCTAGAACCATTTAACTTAGAAGCAATCTGGTTCTAGAGAAAACTGCCACTTCCAGAGGAACAAAAACCCACAGGATTTATTTGGAACTGAAACTGAAATGGGAAAGAGAAAATACCACCTAGAATATTGTTTTTTATTATGAATAAATTTTGCTTGTAATTTCTTCTGAAATAGTTAAGTTCATTTGTTAACATTAGTATTTGCTCTACAGAGACTTTGTGCACTTTCACAGTTTTTTACTACTTCTGCTGTTGATAGAAATGACTATATTATAGATTGTGAATATATAATTATTTTAAAATATTTCTTCTAGTAGAATAAATTCCATGACTGTTGTGGTTTAACCCAGCAGGCAGCTAAACACCACGCAGCCGTTTGCTCACTCCCCCCCGCGTCAATTGGGATGGGGAGAGAATCGGAAAAAAAAAAAGCAAAATTCATGGGTTGAGATAAAGACAGTTTAATAGGACAGAAAAGGAAGGGAAAATAATAATAATGATGATAAAAGAATATACAAAATAAGTGATGCACAATGCAATTGCTCACCACCCGCCAACCGATGTCCAGCCAGTCCCTGAGCAGCGGTCACAGCCCCCCAGCCAACTCCCCCCAGTTTATGTACTGAGCATGACATCACATGGTATGGAATATCCCCTTGGCCAGTTTGGCTGTGCTCCCTCCCAGCTCCTTGTGCACCTCCAGCCTTCTCAGTCGGTAGAGCATGGGGAGCTGAAAAGTCCTTGACTAGTGTAAGCACTACATGGCAACAACTAAAACATCAGTGTGTTATCAACATTGTTCTCATCCTAAATCCAAAACACAGCACTGTACCAGCTACTAGGAATAAAATTAACTCTATCCCAGCCGAAACCAGGACAGTGATCATGGACCCATTTTCTTTATGCTTATGCATTCTGTCACAAAGACGTGGCTAGCCTTGGATCCAAGATCCTTAATACTTCATAAATTATAAACAGCCATACATTGCGTACAGAAACTAAGTGGAGTCAGATCACGTACTGCTTGCGTAAAGTTTTTTTGTTTTTTTAAAGTAAGATACGCTCGTTGCTGGGCTTTGAATAAGGTTGTAGAAAACAAACAAAAAAGAATTGGATCAAAG